TAGCAAATGCAAGCAGTAGGTGAAGAGCTACTGTAGGTGGATGATATACTAATTTGGAATTAATTTTATTATACTCCATAGGTATATTATTCACCTGTTCTTAATAACAGTGGTAACTGTATAAAGGTAAAAGGTAAAGGCCCTCCCGTTGATCGTCGATTTGCTCGAGCGGGCCCAGTAACGTCTCCATTGGAGACTTTGTTGTTACTGTGTCTGGCATATCGAATACTCTCGGTAGCTTGCCGGGCTCTCCGAGAGGGGCGGAGGAATCGAACTCGGGTCGGCCATGTTGGCCGCGTGTAAGGCAAGCGCCCTACCCACTGTGCTATCGCTCCAGCCCGGTAACTGTATAAGAACAAAATTCATACATAATTATGACTCATAAATTTATATAACTAGAAACTATAGATACAAACAGCACAACAATTTTTTACTTATTGTAAAAGGAAAAAAACACACTGCACGTTAAAATTTAAATTTCAAGTTCCAAAAGCATACATTGAATAAAATTAAGTCTTTTCAATAAATGCTGCTAAGACCTGGATAATCATATGCACCCAAGAATGAAACTATACCACCATCTCATACTGTACACAACAATTAATTTGAAATGGATTGGATATTTGTATGTAATATTTAAAATCATAAAATACACAGAAGAAAACGTATGCAAAACACTCCATGATTCTGATTTGGTAATGTCTCTGGAGACTCTACCAATAGCAGTGGAAACAAAATAAAAATTATTGGGACTACATGAAGTTAAAATAATTTCACACAACAAAAGAAAATATTGCTAGACTAAAAAGACATTTTACTATATGTGTATACTATACATTGACAAGAAGTTATTTAAGTATCAAAAACCTTTCAAATAATACCATCAAAATTGATATGAGATGAATAGCTATTTCCAAGGAAAGACAAACAGAGGGCCAATAGACACATGAAAAATGCTCAACGTTATTATGAGAGAAATTAAAAACTACAAAGAGATATCATATTATCCAGTGAGAAAGACCAAGATCACAATGACTAGAAACATGTGGAAAAAAAATAAAGGTTTTGTAATTGTTCAGGGAATATAAACTGGTTATCTTCCTTTTTAAAAGAAAAAAGTACCTTAGATAAAAACAACTCTTAGGAAATAATAAAGGGGTTTCGAGATACTAAAATCAGACTTATCATAATCTAGGAATTCAACTCCTAGGTATTTAACCAAATAATATTAAAATACCCATTTTGAAAAAAAAGTATGCACTTGTATATCCATTACAGCACTACTTATAATAGCAAAGACATAAAAACAACTCAATAAGGAATGCATGAATAAAAATGATGTGGTATGTATTCACACTAGATATTTCTCAACTCTAAGAAAATCTTGCCATTTGTAAAAGCATGCATGAAGCTGGATATTGTCATCCTAAGTGAAATAAGTTAGAAAGATAAATACCAAATGATCTTGCTCAAAGGTGAGATATAAAGAAATAAAACAAGGAAACAGACAAAACCAATGAGAAGCTTATCCTAACACAGAACTGAGGTTGTTATATGGGCACCAAGCATGAAAAAGATCTCAGAGAGAGCAGTGGAAGAATACCAACACCTTGATGGACGGTATAGTATGATACATTATATTCAAAGAGGTGAAAAAGTACTTCTCAATCATAGACAGTGATACCAAGCAATGCTACCTTAAAAAGGTCATTCATTCATTCTAGTTTCCAGAGTTCAATTCTGTTATTATTTATGAAATCACTATGGTAATCTACTTCCATGGCTTGAATCAAATGTTAAAACTGGGGGATACTCAGTTGCTCCTGTCTGAAGCTTTGCTCTAACATAAAGTGGAATGCATAAGTTTCAACCATTAGCACTAAATAAAATATTAAGTAGCTGCTATTGAGTGAAGCAAGTAGACTTTGGTAGTCAAAGAAGAGACAGCAGAGTACTCTAGGTTCTTAAGAGATTTATACTAAGAAAATTAAACAAAGTAACTTGAATAAGACTGATTTATTCAAATGAAAGGTTTTGACAGTGACTGTCAAAATTGGATAATTACTATGTCTTAGCTCATCTTGCACAAATATTAGTTATTCTAAAGGAAAACTTGAAAACTTGTCCAATAATTACTGTGTCACTGTCATCCCCTTGTTCATCAATTTACTCGAGTGGGTGCCAGTAACGTCTCCACTCGTTCCAGCCCTGAGATTTTAGCAGTCACTCCTTACTCGATGAGATGACGATGACAAGTCCAGTAATACTTTATAAAATATAGGACTGACAATGTGTTATGCAGTTAAAACTTGGTTGTCCTGTGAAGGGACCTTAATGTGAACACACACTAAAATAAACAAAAAACTCTCAAAGAGATTCTATGTATGTATCAAGCACTGTTTTGACCACAGAAATAACAGAGGTGAGCTGTTATGTCAGGCTTAATTTCAGAGTGTCTAGACAGACTCCTACAGTTGATCATCCCAGCTCCCAAATCTCTGAAGCGAACAGCTGCATATGTGGCTGTCCAACACCTCCAAACTTCAAAGAGCTAATAGCCCAGAAGAAGCAAAAAAAATTAGATGGGATAATTGAGTAGGAGCCCATTAAGCTCCATGAGTGAAAACAATAGCACAGAAGGCCCAACTCACATCTTACAGCTCAGTTAATCCTCAGGCCATGACTTCAGCAACACCATTATGAGATATATATTGTAATAAGCAACATAAAGTAAATTAATGCTTGCTAAGGGAGCAGGCTTGAGGTATGGGGGGGAATCAAGGCACAGTGGTGGAGGTAACGGCACATTCATAGTGGGACTCATGTTGGGATATTGAATACCTGAAACAAACAAGGCTATATTGTGAACTTGTAAGCCATGGTATTTTAAAAAAGTTTTTTTAAGTAAAGAATAAACACATGCTTTAAAACATAAAACAATTAAATAAATAAATAAATAATTAAATAAAAGAAGTAACAGAGGTAAAATAAAAGACATAATACTATGGCCTGAGAGTATTTGGGTTAAGGTGCTTGCCTTGCATGCAGGAGATCCCTTGGTTTTGAACCTTAACACTGAATTCAGTCCCCTGAAAACCACCAAAAGTGATCCTTGAGCAGTAAGCCCTGAGCAACACTGCCTAGCCCTGTGCCTCCCCACAAAACAGACACAGTTCTCAAACCAAACATGTTTGTTTTACTGAAGCAGAGACTACATGCAATAAAACCATTTCTGTATCTGGTAAATAGGTTACTGTTTAAAGACTCACTGCCAGGTTAGTTTAGGGGGAAAAAAATTCTTTGAAAGGAAGAATCCATAGGATGACTGATATCCCTGCTACTATTCATGGAAAGATCTTTTCCATAATGAGATCGTGGATGAGGCTAGAGTGACATACAGTCTTCAGGTTCCTATTTTTACAAGAGGGGTGAGAAGACTCCCAAGTGTTCAGGAGGCCTAGAGACCCCACTGATGATTTTCAGCCAACCAAACACCAGTTCAATGCAAAGGCCCAGAGATGTGTTGCTCCTTAATTATGGAATATAAAATAGCATAATAAAAACATTTTAAAAATTATGAGACAAAACACCTAAGGACAGTCGAGACAAGAGCCAGAAGGATTGCTCTATGGTTTGGAAGCCTGCCTCATGTGCTGAGGGAAAAGGCAGTTGGGATGGAGAAGGGACCCCTTAGTCAATGATGGTTGGAGGGATCACTTGGGATGGAAGATGCGTGCTGAAAATAGACTAAGGACCAAACATGATGGCAACTCAGTATCTGTATTGCAAACTATGATACCCAAAATTAGACACACCTTCCTTATCATGGTTTGTTTTTTTTTACTTTAATTAAGATTGAGTAACATTTTAAATAAGATGTTATTAATATGGATGACAAAAAAAAGAAATAAAAACCTTATCAGTTATAGCTGGTAAGAGCATAAAATCTTAGAGAGGTAAGTCTCCTATTCAACAGCTAATTATAACACAAACCTGACCAAATGTGACATCCAAAAAATACAAAGAGAATGCTTGCAAAGACTATTGTAAGTTTGGATAGTAAAAAATAAGATATTATGAAGTAAAAATGAAGACTTTACCAAGGTCAGTAAATGGATTATTTATATTCCAGTCTGAATAAAATGCCACACCACCGAGATGGCCAGAAAAAATACAGAAAATTCACACTGACACACATAAATTGTAGAAGGAGCCCTAAGTATGTAGAAGAAACTTTGAAACAGAGTTTTCTCAGGCAGAGAGACAGTTCAATTTGAGAGGATATAATGGTCACCAGTAATAGAGCCCAAGTTTACTATAAACTTATTAATAAGTATGATATTTCTATAAGCAATAAAAGTGTATTTCAATTGCATAGTTTACCTTTATATATCTCTAAACAGCATTAGGAGGAAAATTCCATTAAAACAAGATATTTTCAATGGAATCATTCTTAAGAATTGGGCAAAAAAATGTTCAAACTTTTTTAAATAGTCACACAGATTTTTTTTTTTTTAACTTTGGTAATGAGAACAGAGGCACACTGATGACTGTTGCTTTCTAGATACTTTTAGAAAACCTTTCCCCATAGTTCATGAGGCTATTCTTCCCATAAATTCTCTACTTTGAAAGACATAAAAATCGCAGGCATAAAGATGAAAACTTAGCAAAGGCCAAGAAGACACTGTAGAGCCAGCAATGACAACAGAAGCTTCAACAGTATCATATTTGAATGCTTATGTACTAAGACATAATAAGAATGCTTGGGAATGAAGCGTCTGCTAATTAAACCACCTTAAACAGATTCCCAAACACTGACAAAGATTTTCCAACCATCTGATGAAGATCTTTGATTTATGGGCTGTCCAGGTGAAATCTGGACAGATGGTATCTTTTAATAGTAATTGACACATGAGTGTGTTAAAGATCTGAATGAATCTTCAGGAAACATGCAACTCTATAAAAGAAAACAAAAATGAACAATTTTTAGAGTCATCTACCTTATCTTTGTCTTCAACGACATCTGCCAAGACATCATCTGGATCCAAGATACCTCCATCTGTGTATTCTAAGTGATGGATCTTCACCCAGTATCCAGGATCCTGCAGTAAAACAGACCAACAAAGTTTCATATCAAGCTTTTCAAAGGGGAAAAATTCGTTCTGTACATTAGAAACCATTAACAGTACTGTCAAACACAGAATTTTTAGTAAAATATTTTTAACGGAAAAATCCATCCTAAGTGTAAAAGAACAAATTGAGTCATTTAAAACAGCTCTAATCATAATAAATTTTTCAAAACCCCAACCCCCAAAATTTTACCTGTTTGGAAAGATTCTGGCAATTTGGTTATTTAATCTTTATCTGAATTAAAGAATATATAATTTTTCAAAAACTCATAGTGCTTTAGCAAATCATTTTAATTATAAATCATTTATAATTTCACCAGAATTTTCATTTACTATTTCTCACTGTTTCCCATTATTTTTATTATTAACATTGTGGACATTATTTGAGTTTAACACTCAGTTACATTATATTGAACTACATCTAGTCATTCTTTTCACCATAATTCTTTTAACAATACAATTATACATGACATACAACCTTGCATTAGTCTGAGGTATACAACAGTAATTGTTTATATATATATATTGCATAGCTTTAGCATTTCATCAATTTTTCTTGAAAATAAATTGTCATACATATATGAACTGCCTGAGCTATTTGAAAAGCACTTTCAAGGAACTTTTAATAATCTATAATGTGTGTAACCCAAAGAGCACACTGGGAAAGACGATCTGAAAGGTAGTTTCTGAAACTGAATACAGTAAAATTTAGCTTAGTGGATATCAAAGTTTTATCTCAAAACAGTGTGGGGGGGAGGGGTGAAAGGCAGAAGCAGGTGATTGTGTAACTGCAAAAGCTAACACTGCAAACACAAAAAAACAAATCAGAAGACCACCCACCCCTTCATTTTCAAATATCCTCTGCATTTCCTGTGCTAAGATCTAAAATGATATCAAGACAAGAGGGCTTCCACGGACACCCATTTCATCAGTATAGTGGCTACTGGTACTCTATTAACAACTAAAAGGGTGGAGGGCTCGCAAAAACAGGGTAGCAATTTGAAAGTTTTCAAGTACAGTTCTTGAAAACTAATTTTTAGGATAGGCTTCAAGAAAATAATTTTTAGTTTAATTGTATGTGTAGCAAGATACTTTCTAATTAGAATGGCAGCTTAAATTATCTAGCTCAGTTAAATATGTACCACGTATTACATATATGTGTATATCTACATATATATATGTAAGCTGTATAATAATGAGATGAGTACATGAAACAATAAATGGAGAAGAGAAAAAAAACACTGATAAAGCTTTTACCACAAAAGGCATGCTATAGTTAATGGAGCTGTAATTCTGAAACAACTCTTAAATGAGCAAATTCTGAGCTGTACAGTATTCAGTATCTGTAGGATAGATAACATCAGTTTGTATTTCCTCCCTGGCCACAGGGAGCTTATGTTTATTGGGTTACACCCATCACAATACTCCTCTGTGTTTATCTGTAATGTCTTCTCTGTGCTCTGCTTCCCCAATCAGTCAATCACCCTTATCCCCAAATCAGACTCTGTTGACTTGTAAGGCCAGACCCTTCTAAGGAGTCTGGATTTGTATTTGTAATTGAAATACTGCTTTTCATTTCTCCTTATGTCCTTTGCATAGTTACTTCAGAGCAATGTTATTTTTGTATAGGCACAGGAAGACAGTTAATGCTATGGTTTTGTAACTTGGGAGTTAATTGACTCTGAGTAGTATTCATTCCTGGGTATCTGTTTACCAGCTTAAGCCTCAACTGCCTTAGTTCCTAGCACCTCAAAAGCAGGATACCAACGAGGGACTAGATGGACCCAGGGCAAGATGTGAGCTACCCTGGCATCAAAATAGGCCAGGTCAAGCACCATAATCTTTAACTATAAGTTAAGAGCACGGTCAAGGACAAATTCTATCATGATTCAAAAACAACGGGACAAGGACTCTGCTTAGGATTATGAAGGGCTCATCTACCCTGAGCACTGTAGTCTGAGATCGATAGCAGGATGTCTCAAGGAGAACCACCCTATAAACTTAACGTGTCTCTTACTGTGGCCATACAAAATGACTAAAAATATTAAGAAGTAGAATTAAGATGGATATTTAAATGGTTGTTGGACTCAAGAAAGGAGAAATGCACCCCAAGATGGTACTTCGTTCTTACATGGATCATCATGCTGGATGAGAATTTGTCCTAGCAAAAGCTTACCCCCTGGCACTGGAGCAATAGCATGGCGGGTAGGGCGTTTGCCTTGCACATGTCCGATCCGGGTTCGATTCCCAACATCCCATATAGTCCCCCAAGCACCATGAGGAGTCATTCCTGAGTGCAGAGCCAGGAGTAACCCCTGTGCATCGCCGGGTATGACCCCCCCCCAAAATAAAGAAAAAGCTTCTCCTGAGGGCAGGGCTTTATATCTGTTAATTGTATGACCACACCTATGTGTAATTGCTACCCCAACCCCTCATGATTTGGGATATATACATAACTAATGTGGTAAGAGTGAGGAGGAGGAGAGTTAGGAAGGGGAGGATCAAGGAGAATCGGGAGGAGGAGGATGGACAGGGATAGAGGAGAGATATGGGAGGGGTAAGACTGAAAGGAGGCAGGAGAAGGAGACAAAATTGGAATAAACTGCAACTAATCACTAAGCAGCCTGGCCCTCGATTCCTCCTTCGTCTGCCCATTGCCATAGGCAGTCCAGGGTGAGGAAAGCAGCCCGAAACCACTGAACACAGGCAGCAAGAGAGCACCGTGTTGAGATCATCTTTTGAACACACAAGTATGTAGTAAAGCAACAAATATGAGCATGGGAGGGAAATGGATGATAAGGTTCTATATTTTTTCACATAAATCTTCATGAAAAGTAAAAAGCAGTATAACATAATTATATTCCACTTTTACAAAAATTAATAGAGATAGCTATCATAAAGCCTTTTATTAACTGTCCCAAATTTAAAGAAAAAAAGGTCTTACTACTAAAGAATTTTTTTTAAAAATTTATATGAAGGGCTATTAAAGTACACAACTTTACAGTAACTCAATGTGATAAAGTAATAGGCTTCAAACATCTGAAAAAATTCTCCGTAGAGTTTCAATTTTCAAAGTTAAGATTTCTATGGCATCGGTGGTTGGTGGGCAGAGTCCAGCAGTGTCCCAATCACCCTGTGACTTGGGACTCAGCGCAGGTGTTCGACCTGGCACAGACCCTATGTGATGGAATCTTGCTCTGCCAGCTGGTCGACAGCCTCCGGGCACATTCCATCCACCTCCATCCGCCTCAAGGAGATCAACCTGAGGCCACAGATGCCCCAGGCGCTTCCCGGAGACACAGGCAGCTGTGTGTCGTCAGTGTACAAATTGTTACAGCAGGCTGGTCACCAGGAGCTTACATTCGGTGGACTGGGAACACCTGCAGGGACAATCAGAGATCATCCCCAAAGCCTCCATCTGAGAACCCAGCAAGCTACCAAAGGTATCCAGCCAATATGGCAGAGCCTGGCAAGCCACCAGTGATGTACCAAATATGCCAACAACAGCAGCAAAAATGGATCTCATTTCCCTTACCCTGAAGGAGTCTCCAACTGAGTTGGGAAGAAGGAGAGGGTTCTTACTAAGCAGGTGGTGAGCAAGTCAAGGGTGGAAAGGTGCCCCGCAAGCAGTTGGCCACCAAGGCGGCCTGCAAGAGTGCACCAGCCACGGCGTGATGAAGCTGCACTGCTACTGGCCCAACAATGTGGCGCTATGCAAGATTTGCCAGCTGCAGTTCCAGCGGCTGGTGCTCAAGATCGAGCAGGCCTTCAAGATTGACCTGTGCTCCCAGAGCTCGGCAGTAATGGTGCTGCAGGAGGTGTGTGAGGCCTACCTGGTGGGGCTCTTAGAGGACACCAACCTCTGCGCATTCCCAGCCAAGCGCGTCACCATTATGCCCAAGGACATCCATCTGGCATGCTGCATCCGCAGAGAGAGAGCATAAAGTTTATGATGCTAAAATCTCAGGGCTGGGGCAAATGAAGACGCTACTGGTGCCCGCTCAAGTAATAGATGATTAACGGGATGACAGTGACATGACAATGATAGTGACAAGATTTCTATGAGTATCGTGGAAGTATCCAATTCCAAGTAAAATGAAAGAATTTTCTTTGCTTATACACTAGAATTACAGATGTAAAGCTAATAATTTATGAGAAAATTTGAACAACTTTCTGATTTTATTGTTCAGGTTTTAATGAAAAATAGTTGAGCATTAATTGTATAATGAGGTAAGAAAAGGATAAAATGAAATCATTCAATGGTCATGAATGTCTATGCTCAAATTATTTGATCAAAGAACTTTGCCAATACAATGTGATTGTGCTATGAAGGTTGGATAAATCAACAACAGACTTGATTCCAAACTGGAAGTATACTGGTGCAAACAAAATATTATGAAATGGCCTCTGAACCATAGAGAAAATAATTACCTTGGTAATCTTTGAGAATTGAATTATTTCATTATGATCATGCCACAGCCATGCATTTCTCCACATCTAATCAGAACTTTTAACTAAAATATAGAGTTTTACATTTTATTTGTAAATCAGCAGTCTTATCATTCCCATTTTGGAGTTGTCCATATCTTAACCTGGGATGTAAAATCCCTTTCCTTACTTTATGAATTACCATCTGGTCTCTCTCCTAAGGGCTTGTATTCTCTCTAAAGCACATTATTCTCTCTCCCTCCTTCTATATATTAAATAAAAAAATCTTTTAAAAACCCTTTCTGTAAAAGAAGTTCAATTTAATTAATTTCTATAAAATTCATTGAGTTGGGTTTTGACATACTATAGTTTGACAGATAAAAAGTTAATTTTAACTGTAAAAGTTACATCCTAAAAAGTTTTCTTTTTAAAAATAAGTGGCTTAAAGGCAAACATCTATTATTTTTTTCTCCTAGTACTCAGTTTTAACAAAATATTTTATCATCTAAGAATGAAGTTAATCCATTACCCTCAACAAGTATACA